ATATATATATATATATATATATATATATATATTTTTTACTACAAATTCAATTTCTTTAGGGTTTACAGGACAGTACAGGTAATCTATTTCACCTTGTGTGAGTTTTGGTAGTTTATGCTTTTTGAGAAATTGGTCCATTTCATCATGTTGTATAAATTAGACATGTAGAGTGGTAATAATGTCTATTTTTAGTTTATCAAATATTTTAAAATTTCTTCAATCTTTATGTTGGTGTTTATTTTTCCATGAGTACATTTTCATTGCCTGATTCTTGACCCTGGACATGTGGAGAACATGTCCTTTCCCGGTGGGAGCTCTGCTGTTTAATCAAGATATCAGAGTTCTGTGTGTTCCCTCCCTCTAGATCAGGGAAGCTTATCTTGCCTTTCACTAAATCCATGGAAGAAAAGTCACAGTCTGTCATTTAAACAATAGAAGATATATTTCTTTAGGTTAAGAATTTTAACACAGGAACATCATAATATCAGCAAATGTGAGCCCTAACATATGGTAAGTTCAGCATAAAACTTTGAATTGCTCTTCTCTTGTCATTTTAACACCTGATGACCATCTCAGAAATGACTTTCTACTCTATCAGAAAGTCAGGGAATGGGTAGGGGCTAGGGAATTTTTATATTTAATAAATTGATTTTAGTGCCTGTAATGGACTGAGGAATGCTTTTCACTAGTGGTGAACATACCTTTTCTATCATGAAGTTTCTTCAACTAAGAAAAATGTATTTTATTTACTCCTTTGTTGCATTACAGCTTGGAAAAAAAAATATAAAGCATGTCTACTTAAACACTCCATCTAATATGCTGTGGGCTTTAGCTGATCTCCTATGAAGTTGCAGTTCAAGTGAAGAAATACTGCTTAGAAGCATGTGCTTAACTGTGGAAGGAGGCATTCTCTACCTGATGGGGTTGAAGGGGAGTCAATGGAATGAAAGGTCCCAACAATCCAAAAAATGGATTTATTCATGTGGATTTAATGGCATTACCTGCTTCCCTATTTTTATCTCATACAATAATTTGAAACACTGCATTATATTTTCAAGATCCTGACATGTACAGTCTAATCCACATATTCTTTAGAAATCTAAGCAGCACAAAGCACTTTGTGAATGTTAGAATGTTTAGAACTTTGACCAATGTTTTTATGGAGCAAGGATCTTCTGCAAACTCTGGTTTGTTCATAGGACCTATTTTTGAAGGTTAAGCTTTATGGGAACACAGCTATGCCCATCTGTTTATGTATTGTCTATGACTGCTTTCCTACTTCATGGCAGAATTGAGCATTTGAGACAGAGATGATATGGCTCACGAAGCCATGAATACTTACTATCTGATCTTTTACAGCAAAGTTAGTGAACCAGTGCCATAAAGATTAAAGTCTTATTTTTGGGTGAAAATTTGAAAAAATCTCTCAGAAATAAAAAGTCTAATGAAGTATATTTTATTTCCAGCTTGAAATAATTCTTAATCACTTCAAGAAACATCGACTGTTTGCTTAGGACCTTAGACAATTGGAATAAAGTCTGCATATGCTGTAGTATATGTAGTACTAGTAATATCTACAGCATTATTTATGCTGCAGTTTATATAGTACTAGTAATGCCTAGAGCATCATTTTTCTGGTCAAAAAATGTCAAAAGCAATCCATATTCTCTTTGGAAAAAATCATCAAGCTTTGAAGTATGACTCCTAAGTATTGGGAAGAGATAGCCTAAGCTTTAGGATTATAAACTAATAATGTTACCTTAGTTTTCTAACATCTGTCATCATTTAAAGCCCATCTTTGTGAATTATACATTGTGACAAACACACAATGCATAATTGTCTTTATGTTACTATGTTCAGCCTAGTGTCAACAACCAAAATCCCAGAGAGTCCCATTAAATTATAACATGGATTAACTGATCAAGAAAGGAAAATTTTCTTCTTTGGTGCATTTGTTAATGACCAACTCCTACTAATGCTAATGGTTTCTTTCATCTTCCTACAGAAATTCAGGAGAAATAGAAAGTCTAGATCTCTGTATAAGGTAGTTTGCTTTAGTTTAGAATCTGACAGTGAGGATTGTCCATTCCCAGTGCTCAGAAATAACACCATTGCTTACAGACTGTGCAGTATCGCTGCAATGGAAAGCTGTTCATTCTCACCAAGAAGCCAGATGCTTGTTCCTGACATTGGAACCCATTGTACAGTTAGCTGAACTGATGCCCAATTATATCCCAATACTTTTACCTAAGACTTTGCTCAGTATTCATTTGTCTACTATTGGCTATCTGGGAGGTTAAGCTTCTCCTGAGTGGTAAGGACCAGCTTGCGATTCCTCCTGTGTTGGTATAGAGATAAAATTTACTCTACTTATACAACTCATAATATTAATAGGAAGACAAAATTTCATCTTCCTACAGAAATTCAGGAGAAATAGAAAGTCTAGATCTCTGTATAAGGTAGTTTGCTTTAGTTTAGAATCTGACAGTGAGGATTGTCCATTCCCAGTGCTCAGAAATAACACCATTGCTTACAGACTGTGCAGTATCGCTGCAATGGAAAGCTGTTCATTCTCACCAAGAAGCCAGATGCTTGTTCCTGACATTGGAACCCATTGTACAGTTAGCTGAACTGATGCCCAATTATATCCCAATACTTTTACCTAAGACTTTGCTCAGTATTCATTTGTCTACTATTGGCTATCTGGGAGGTTAAGCTTCTCCTGAGTGGTAAGGACCAGCTTGCGATTCCTCCTGTGTTGGTATAGAGATAAAATTTACTCTACTTATACAACTCATAATATTAATAGGAAGACAAATATGATTTCAATGATAGTCTTCATGTCTTTGCAAAAATCTGGTGTTGTAAAAATGCAAGCTCTAATTGTTATCAAGTGTAGTGTCATTTTTCCATTCAAAAACAGCTTGAGTTATGCCTTAGGTAATAATGACCATGAGAATTCCATTTTTTAGGTCTTTAGCTTAACAAACACATCCTCCTTGGTTTTGCCATGTTCCTTTGGATGTTCTGTATTTCGCTATGAAGGCGTCTGCTCTCATCTTGGAATCCTTCCTTTAGTAATCGGGCCTGTTCCTAAAAAGGGACAGACAAAGGAGACTGAATAAAGGGTAGCATTAAGTAAATTTTGACCTTTAGTTTCCATACTCATTGATTTTTTTTTAGTATTTAATTTCTTCTTGAAATTTTCTCTACTCTTAATTTTCATTACATTTTCTATTGGACATCCTAACTCTGCAGTTACTTTTCCTGTGTCTCCTTTACCTAAGAAAGATTTTCAGCTTGTACCCTCTGATATATTGATAACCTTAATTACTAGTTTTGAACTTATTTCCCATTAATTCTACACAACCTTTGTGGGCAATCTCAATCACATATTTTGTTTCAAAATTTTTTCCATGCATTATAGACTCCTTTACACACACACACACACACACACACACACACACACACACACACACACACAACACAGAAGTAAAGAATTCTCAAAATCTGATGAACTGTCTGAGTCTTAGATCAGGATTTTGATCTTAGTCTCCATGACTTGGTGGCAGGGATAGCAAATACAGATAAAGAAATCAGAGCCCCAGACTCAATTTCTGCACATAACTCTCAACTCAACACAAACTGGGAACAGGGCATAGAAAATAGGAGTGGCAGACTGTCACATAGGTGTGAGACTAAGGCAAGTCCTTCTTTCTGCTCATACAGTTTCTCTAAGAGCTAAAGTAATACTACATGTGACAGTAAAAAAGATCATTGTGGATTCCACTAAGTGGTGAAGATAGTTCAGGTATCTTACCAAGTTGTGCAACTCCATACAAATTATTTAGTCTTTCTGAACCTTTGTTTTTTCTCCAAAGTAATAAGGACATAGACATTCTTGCTTTATATAGTATTAAGCAAGAAATACAGATGAAGACATTTTTCATAATGCATAGCAGATAACATCTACTATTGATCGAAGGACATACAGATTAAGGACTAGATGTGGCCTAACAGCAAATGAAATCTTTTAATAACCATATGTAGGGAAGGGCCAGGTCAGGCAGGCAGAGAGACGTTGAAGAGCATAGGTGGCGAGATGCTCTTACTGCCACACTAAGACGTGATCAGGGAGAGCAGAGGGAGAACAGAAAAAGGAACTTCAAGGTGATGCAAGCAAATACCTGAAGTTTAAGAGCGAGGGTCCTCTCTTGCTCTTCCATCAGCTGGGCCCTATCCCTCTCCATCTTTTCAGTCAGTTGCTTCACATGTTCCTGGTAACTCTTTTCTTTCTCTTCCATCAGCTGCTGATTCTTTTTTTGCATTTCCTCCACCATTTTTGCTGCAGCTTGGGCCGACTCAGCTTTCACCCGTTCCACTGTCAGGAGGAAATGCAAGAAGAAAAACGTGTGTGGGCGGCCGTGTTGTCTCCTGCCTTGTACGCTTCCCTGACTGCACATGCCCTGCTCAGAGAGTAAGAGGCATCTTTGTTTAAGGACCCCAGGTTTACCTCACCGAATTAGCTGGGCTTTAGGCTTGTGAGGCTATCTAGCCTCTTGGCTGGTTCCTCACCTTCAATCTCCTTTTCCTTTTCTGTGAGAGTCTGGTCTGTCTGTAGAATCGCATCAGTCACAGACTCCTTGGACTTCAAGTATGTCTGAAGAATCCCTTCAGCCTTAGGACCCAGAGAACATGGAGTTAGTAATGGGAAATGGTGTAAGCATTTGTTCCTATTGACTCACTCTTTCCCTCTAGGAATTGCCCCCTCAGCCCTGTTGTGCCTGGTGGTCAAGATTCCCTGTCACAGGGGTACACACATGCTCCAGGCTGGCACCCCACTAAGCAGAATCCTCTATAAAACACCTGGAAAAAGAGATTCTCTGTTCAGCAAAGGGAGGGCTCTCATTTTTGAGCTGTTGGTGCTGTGGTTTCATATAGGCTGAACTTGTTGGAGAATGAAGCCATCATGGAGAAAGCAGATGACAGGAAAGGAGACAGAGGGAGAGTAGGAGGGAGGGAAGTGTGGTGCTGGGTGGAATCACAGAGTCAGATGATGACATTAGTTGAAAGCTTGGAGCCGTTATCCTCAGAGCCCGTTTGAAGCCTAAACTGATGCCATGCCAGTTTTGTTTAAGCAACCATCACTGGGTTTCTGTCCCTTGCCACATAAAGATCCAGCTGTATCAGTGGATGACAATAACAACCTAGTGACTAATCTGTTAATCCGTCTAATAACTGAGCTGTTAAGTGAGTGCACCCTCTTGGATAAGCACGTAGGACATATCTGGCACAACAGGCTCCCTATAAATATTTACTGAGTGCTATCATGTTGGTGTTTCAAGGGGGCATGTCAGCAGCTTCCCAGAATCAATGGGTAAATCTTGGTCACCTGTATCCCCTTCCTAGGTTTCTGGAAGTACTTCTGTTTCAGCTCTTCTGTCTTCTGAATAAAAAGACGGTACCCTCCTGGTTTAGAATAGGCCCCTTGCTTCACAGCTTCTTCTAGAGGACTGAAGATTTCCACAAGTAAAGTTGTGCAACGATCTGATGATGCTTCCACATTCTGTCTACAAAAGTCATCCCGCTTTTTTCCTAGCTGGTTCTGTAATATAAAAACAGGAGGTTACAAGAATAACAGAGAAAAGATGTTAGCTTGACCTGAGAATTTCTGGAAAGACTTCTAAAAAATTAGTTTATGACCCCTAGAAAAACTTATTAGATACTTCAGTGATCCTTTTCTCTTGATCCTGAAGTCCCTTTCTCTTTGGAGGTGAAGTTCAGAGCTGAGATCGCTTTTTATCATACGTTTAGAGATAAACTGCTTTTCAAATTGGACCAATGATTGCATGTGGAACAGATGTGGCTCAACATAAGCAAGCTCAGGATGATCTGCAGTTTTCTTTGCTTTTGGCTAGAATATCAATCAGTTTGCTAACAGTGGGCATGTGGTTTGATTAGAAGCTCTGATTGTTACTTAAATGCATTTAATTAAAATATAAGGAAGATTATTTGTTCGTGAAGGAAAGATATTTTAAAAATTTGAGCCCATCATAAAATTGGTTCTTTTTATTATGATAACAAATAGTGGTTGTCACCATTTTAGTCTAGTAAGAATTGCTTCCCTCAAAGTAAAACCCATTTCATTTCCCAGTAGTACTTTGCTTTCTAAGACCCTCATCCACCTAAACATGAGAAAAAAATTACCGCTAATTCCTTCTGAAATGAGTGGTCTACATCTTTGAAAGAACTCTTGATGAAGACGCTGATGGCCTCTGTCTCGCAGGCCCTGTGCAGGTCCAGAAGCTCCTGGAGGGTTTCTGTGGGCAGCTTCAACTTCTGGCCCATCTGCTGCTCATAGTGGGCAATGGCTTTTTGCATTGCAGCCCTGTTTTCGATCTGGGCCAAGGCCAGTACTGCATTCTCCATGCAGGGCAGATTCCCACTGCTGATGGCCTTGACATAGGTCAGCACCAGGCTCTCTAGACCTAGAAATAGAGAACAGATGACGATGTTTGTTGTAGGGAGGGATGTGGAAATGTTCTATTCTGTGTAGTTCTGATCATGTCCATTATCACCCACTTGCCTCACAGCCTTAATGTCCTCAGTAGCACCTGGAACCTTGCTGGAAATGTAGACTCTCAGCTTCTGCCCCAGATCACCTGAATTATGCCCTTCTCTCTGGCAAGTGCCCAGGTGATATGTATGCCCATCAGAGGCTGAGAATCTCTGTTCCAAATAGCATAGGCCTGTGTTTACATCCACTTTATCCCTGTACGCCACAGGACAGGAACCATAACTCTCATGTACGTCTGCATCATCAGCCCTGGTGCATGGTAAGCATGTGATCAACATCAGTGGAACAAATCAAAATGAAGCCTCCACTTTGCTTATTCTAGCACAGCGTTGTCCAAGAGAAATTTCTGTGAGTGTTAGGCAGGAAAATAGATATGAGCTGGGTGGAAAGAGAATAAGGCCAGGAAAGCCCCCTGAAAAAAGATCCAGTGTTAATGAGTTAATCAATTAAAGCTCAAAAAGCCGGGGGTAACTTGGCCTGGAATGTTTGAATATTCCCTAGATAAAGGAGGGTACCTCAGCATAGCCCATGTCTTTATTGTGTTAATCATGCAGACCCAGCTTATTTTTTAACTTTACCTATATGCTGTTTTTTTCCTTCACCCCTAATGAAGTAATTTGCAACCTGGGCAACTAATTTAGCAAACAGGCCCAGCTGTAAACAACACAGTAAAAGGCAGGAAGGATTCCACCTTAAAAATAAGATTGCATTTTAATACCCAGGAAGTTAAGAAGTAAGATTCTTAACTTACTCTTTAGCAAACAGACAATAACTCAGCCCACCTTGGGGGCTGGGCAGGCAGTCTTAATTGATATGCTTCCAAACCAGGAAGCTGCTATCCTGGGAGGGGACCAGAGCAGTATATTACTTGTGCTAATTTTAAATCTTCAGGGACTACTTAACAAGTCTGCACCCCCAGCCCTTTGTCATTCCTGAAAAAAAATCTTTAAAAGGAGGAATCCGCAACCTCTGAGTGTACTCCTTTCTCTGAGTAGCCTGCACTTTCTAAGTACATAACTTTTAACTTTTTCACAATCTTTCAGCTCACCTCCCTCTGAGGTCTCCTGTACTTTCTAAGTGTGTAGCCTTAAACTTTATCCAACCTTTCAGGGCAACTCTCCTCCCTGAGGTCACCTGCACACTTTCTAAGTAAATAACTTTAAATAAAACTTTTACTCTGCTTCACTACTGTGTCTCTGCCTTTCAATTCTTTCTTGCGGCAGGGACAGGAACTGAGGAAAATACACAACGCTCCCCCAACAGAAGGAGAGGTTCCATATGTGATGCCCAGTTGTGGATAGTGAAGATTCCTGTGGCCAGAATTCTCACCTGGACCTGGTTGGCTAGCTCACTACACACATGTGGGCAATGCATTGTTATTGACTCTATATAAAGAGCCCACATGGTGGCATGGCTGCAAGGCTGCAGGAGAGCAGAGCAGAGGCTGGAGCGGTGGCAGCACCAAGGGCAAAGACTGGGACAGCTGTGTGGGTAGAGAGGCCCAGAGGCAGAGACTGGCTTGCTGCATGCAGACTCACTCTGAGTGAACGGGATTTTAGTGACTGACCTGCCACCTGGAAATAAAGTTGTGTATAGGCCTTTCACCCCAAGAACATTTTACTGTCATTTCTTTGGTCACACTGAATCTGTACTGAACTTGCCTCGGGCTGAAACCCATTGGCAAGTATGGTAGCCACTAGCTGCTGAAGGTATGAGTTCTTGAAATATGGCTATGTGATTGGAATTTTTACTTTTCATTAACTTATTATTAATTCACAGGTAAATTGAGATAGCACTTGTCTAAAGACTATCATCTGGACAGTGCGGGAGCAGTAACTGGGTAATTTTTTAAAAATAGAGCTTTTTTTCTTTTGGCCTTTCCTATCTTATCCAAAAATTTGACCAGTAACATTTATTTAAAATGTTGGTTTCATCTAGAATTTAACATGACAACAACAGATTTACATTTTTCGAAGCTAAAACTAAATGGATGTTATTTGACCCTCCTTTAATCTTAACAATGAGTGAGAAAGATTGGGAAAGGAACTCACGAGGTCCATTGACCTTGATGCCTCCAGAAAGGGTTTTAGTCTTGGAATTGCTAAAGATGTAGGAACAGAAGACTGCAGCTTGTTGCACAAACTCAGAATCTAGCTCATCATCATGCAGGGTCTCTAGCTGGTTTAGCTTCTTCCGTTGAGTGGGCCGATCAAAGATGAAGCATTTCTTTTTTGGAAAGAACTTTCGGATACAGAGTCGGGGCAGATTAAAATTTTTGTCCTTTGGACTGGTACCTGGAGGAAGATTAAAAACATTTGCCAATATAGAGACTTCCAAACTTTTCTATAAAGGGCCAAAGAGTAATATTGTAAGCTTTGCAAGCCAGGTGGTCTCTTTTCCAAGTATTCAGTTCTGTTACTGTAGCATTTAAGCAGTCATAGACAATCTATTCTATAAGTGAATGGGCATGGTAATATTCCAATGAACCCTAATTTTAAACAAACAGCTGACAGGCTGGTCATAGTTTGCCAACCCTTGGACTAGTGTTCATGCTTCAATCTAGTCAAATAAATTGCCCATCCTATTCTATACCCTTTAACTAATTACAGCATCATAAGCCCTAAGCAGGAAGATAAAATCAATCCGGTCATAGCCCAGGGAAAGGTGAAAGAAAAAAAAACTTATTCTTAGAGCAAGGGAGACTATAATTTAAAATGAAATCTGTTAATTCAGATATCAAACAGGCATTAATTCTCAGTAATGGCCACCTGAGGAGAAGTAGAAAACCATATAAGAAAACTGTAAGTAAAAAACTAAAAAATGATAGTTTCAACTGTTTCATCATTCCCATTACCAATTGTAAGTCCCCTTTACCTTGCTTAAGCTTGAGTGAATTCTCTAGGTACTCGTCCGCTGTGATGGTTGTTCCATCTGCTTCCAAATCTAAGGTGAAATCCCTCAGTGTCCACACAAAGTCTGGAAAGAAGCTTACAAAGTCAGCTGAATCTTCAGTCCCGTTTGCAGCAGGTGAGGACTTTGCCCTGATTCGATCTGTCAGCTCTGTCACATAGCTGAGCAGCCAAACTAAGGAAAACTGGCATATAAGAACAGTGTCCCTCATCCCACATTAGTCCACGTATTCACAACTTTTCCTTCCCCTTTGTTCTTAACTCAACTGTCAGTTCTTCCATGGGTACAGAACATCTTGCCGTGCCCCTGAATTATTTTTAATGTTTTCTTTTTGTGTATATGTGCTGGATTTTCCAGGATGCACAGTCTTGCAGCTAGTTATTAAACAGAAGTCTGCCCTCTGACTTTGATGCTGTTTTGAACCCCAAAGAGGATACTGCAGCTGGTCCATCGCCTGCTGGTTGATGGTCCCCATGCTGTTGTATACAAAGGTGCTGCTCAGGAGTATGGCTAGAGCAAATATCCAGGAGTCATTCTGATTGTCACCCTGGAAATCAGAACACATTTGGGCCAAGATTATGTTTCATTCTCACAGCACTTTCCAGATCAGCAGTAGTGAAAGAATGTTCATTTCATTAGAGTTTTTTTTAGACTACTGACCTATAAGAGAAAGCCAGATCCAAACAAAAATACTTGTTAGTAGAATCGGATTTTGAATTGTCTTCTGGTTAGTATTTTTGTTTTACACTGATTTTTCACTATGCCCTTTTTGACCATGGGTAGATAATCCAAAAACAAATAGTCAAGGCTGATAGGCAATCTAAGACCATAAATATAATTTTAATTTTACATTTTCTTTGTTTTTATAGCAAAATTGACTTACATAGAGTAATAATACTTGTAGCTATTTTATTGAGCAAATATGCACTTAACACTTTCTATTACTTATCACATTAAATATTCAAAGCAACACTATGAGGCAAATCGGTTTTATAGGTCAGAAAGCTGACATGAAAAGAGGTCAAATAATTTGCTAAGGCCACTGAGTTAGTGACAAAGTTGACCTTTTAACACAAGGCTATGTATTTAAGAACCTAGATCCCTAAGTACAGTTCTCTGCAGAACAAAACTTATGACATTGATTTTATTTTTATTCCCTTATGCATCTAGGTTAACTGGCTTAATTTATAACCTGTTATTAGTAATTAGAATGCTGGCCACTATGTTTTTTAGGATTCTGTCTTAAGGATATTTTTCTGGCCCTGTCACTGTGTTTGGTTTCATGGCAAATCAATAGAAATGAAGAAAACATTATGGTTCAGTGCAAACTCTTATTTAAAGAAAAATTAAATAGTGTAGAGAATATTCAGAGATTGGGGGCTCATTCCCAAGCTGAATCCTCAGTCCTCACCTTCTCCACATCTCCCAAGCCCTCGGTGTCAAGCAGAACTAGGGTGTGGCTTGGCTTCTTGGGATGAGGCACACACCACATCCAGATTCCTTTGGTGTGAGACTGCACTGTGGAGCCCAGAGAGAAGCCTGCAAGGGGAGTGGAGACAAGAGAAGGTAGCATTTTAATAGCAGATGGATCTACAAATTGAGATAAAAGTTAACATAATCAAGGTCGAGAGAAAGCTGAAACTACAACCAGTATTAATCTTATTTACAATCAGAGGAATAGGAACATTAGAATATCCAACACATGAAAAAATTAAACACATTTTCATGACAAAAACAATAAACTGGTGGTAGAAGGAAACTAACTCAATATAATAAACATAATAAACTTAACATGATAAAGGCCATATTTGAAAGGGCACAATTATTATCATTCTGTGGTAAGAGACAGAAAGCTTTCCTTCTATAGTAATTAACAAAAAAGGATCAAAGAGCTATATGGAACAGCAAAAACTATAAAACTCTTAGAAAAAAACAGGGAGAAAGTTTCATGATATTGGATTTGGCAATGATTTCTCAGATATGAAACCAAAAGCATAAACAACAAAAGAGAAAAATAGGTAAGTTGGACTTCATCAAAATTAAAACTTTTATGCAACAGACACTGCCAACAGAATTGAATAAGTAACTTATAGAATAGGAGAAAATATATACTAGTCACAAATCTGACAAGGAATTGACATCCAGAATATATAAAGAAGTCCTACAATGCAACACACAAAAAAATGACCCAATTAAAAAATGAGCAAAAGCTTGAATAGACTTTTCTTTGATCAAAGAAAATATACAAATGGCCAATAAACACATGAAAAGATGCTCAACATTACTAGTCATTTGGGAAATACAAATAAAAACCACCATGAGATACTACTTCACACCCATTAGGATGGCTGCTATCAAAAAACCAGAAAATTACATGTATTGGTGAAGATGTGGAGAAATTAGGGCCCTCTGCATTTCTGATAGGAAAGTTAAATGGGGCAGTTATTGTAGAAAATGATCTGGTGACTTCTTTAACATGTTCTTGGCAACATTCTTTATGAATTACATATTCGTAATAGCCAAAAGATGGAAGTGACCAAGCATCCATCCACAAATGAACAGATAAACAAACTGGTTTGCACATATGCATATACAATTATTCACCTTTAGAAGGGAACAGAATTTTGACACATGCCGCAATGAAGAAGCTTGCAGACATTATACTAACTGAAACAAGCCAATCACAAAAGGGCAAACAGTATGTTTCATCTATAGGAGATCCGTAGAGAAGTTAAATTCGTAGAGACAGAATGTAGAATGGTGGTTGCAAAGGGCTGGGGGGTTATTGTTTAATGAGTCCAAAGTTTCTGTTGGGGAAGATGAAAAATTTACCTAGATGGATGGTGGTAATGGTTGTACAACAATATGAATTTACCTAATGCCACAGAGCTGAACACTTAAAAATTGGTGACAGGTAAATTTTATGTTATGGATACTTTACAACTATAAAAAAAAGTAACTAATACAGACTTAAACATTCTTTTTTAATCTTAAAGATCTGGGGAAATTTGCTTTTAGTACATGAACACTTTGGTCTTATACATTAAATGTCTTATAGCTTATTATGTACATTAATATTTTTATTACTGCTGTAGTCTTTCTGAGAAAGGAACAGTTTATGCTTTTGAAAGGGGAAACTAAGGCAAAGTGGGAATAGATATGAGCTGACTCCTTCAGATCACAGTGAAGATTAATAAGAGCAGAACTATGGGTTGAAGGTTAGCTTTCAGGATTCCTCCCCATCCCTAACTTTCTCTCCATCCGCCACCATACTCAGTGCTGGCAGTCTGGGTGCACACAGGGAACTCGGCAGAGCTTTGCTGGTGCCACTCACCCGTTCTCTTCCCAGCCAGCTTGTTCATCAGGTAGGATTTGCCTGTGCGGTACAGGCCCACAATAGCCACCACCACCACCGGCTGGGTAATGGCAGACAGGATCTTCAGAGCTTCCTGATTAGCCACCAGCTGCCCTTTAATGTTCTCAATGAGGCACAGGGGGGCTGGCATGTGGCTCTCAGAGGCCATGCTGAGGGTGTTTTCTTGTCTGCAAAGGAAGAGATGACCTGAGTTAGAATTTTCAGCCTATGTCAATCGAGAACTTCCACCTGGTTATTTTATATTCAGAAGGCAGTCATAAAATTCCCGAACATGGCCAAAAGTTTTGTGTCAACAGTGAGATAGACGAAGGGGAGATCTGTATAATTTTGGGAAGTTAGTAATGCAGAAGTATTGTCAAAGCAGTCCATTGAAAGAAATATTGGTATGACGGTGCCTTATCAACCCCCAGCCACTCTCATGAACAAAATCTTTCATTTGATTTGCCATAGAAAATTTTCCTTTTGGGTTCCCATTAAAAAATTTACACTAGACATTCAATGGAAAACAGAACAGGATTTAGAGAGATTTATTTTACATCCTGGCTAGTAAGAGATTCAAGATTACTTAATTAATTCATTGATTCTTATTATGATTAAAGACTTTAATGAATAAATGTTTCATCATCTGATGTATGCCCTTTGGGCAATTTCCAGAGATTTAAATTGTGGGTTTTATTTCACTAGTTACACTTATTTGACTGGAATGAGGTTCCACAGAACTCTTCATACTGCCATTCTGGAAGTTGAACCAATATAACTTACTTTTGAAAATTTAATAAAAATACCAAAGACTATTACCATATGAAACACATGGCTGGGGACCCTTCTGTAGTTTTGGTATAAGCTTGTGTTAGCTTATACCTCACAATAAACTGGCCTCCAGCTAAGTGTTGGGACAACTGCAGGTATTACATGTTGCTAAAAATCATGTTTGTGTACATATGTGTGTGTAAGGGAACCAAAGACTATGACTTAAGGGTTAAAAGATCAGGAAGCAGATTGGGAGAGCCAGGGAGGTAGTTGCTTGAAGAAAATATCTGTATTTCAAGCCGTACCCTTCTAAGTTTTCTGTTTTTGTTTTCCATTTGGTAGAGTAGAAGAAAAAGTAGGAAGAGGAGGGGGAATAGTTGGGGGAGAGGAATGGAGAGAGCGGGGGAGCAGGCACTGAAAAGCAGAGAGAGCAAGCTCTCAGACAAGTAGCTGGTGAATGAAGCTGGTGCCAAGCCAAGGAATTCAGAGGCGTTTACAGAAGGCAAGATTAAGACTGCTTACCCAAGAGAGGTCAGGCTAAACAAAGATATCCTTGGTGAGACACCGCAGTAGATTCTATAGGAGGAAGATTTTTAGTAGAGTAGCAGAACCAGTTTCTACTTGGTGGTAAAGAGTGAATTGGCATTAAGAAATTGGATCCAGTGAGCTTGGACTATTTTAAAAGGAAGAAATCCACTTTGAAACAAAGTCCAAATGTGTGATTTTTCAAAAGTATGGGGTTTCTCATGAATCTTCATGTTTTACTCTGGGTGTCAGTTTTTTTCTTTCTTTGTCTTTAAAAATGTCCGGTAGCTGCATCTCACTTACTATTCTTTCCTTCTCATGAAAATAATGTATCTGTAGCCCTTTCCCTTTCTTAGCTGAAGTTGGGTCAGTATTAAGCAAGTTCCGTCAAGACAATGGTAATTTGTGTCCCGAGTCAATGCCGATAATGTCAGCAAAAAGAGGAACAATTTGAATACATTCCAAACTCTTCGCTGAGCCCTGTGGTGCCTAACTCCCTGCAAGCACAGTGGGGCCCCTTAGGGATGGGCTGCCGCCTGATAATGGCAGGATTTCCTCTAGCCTCCTGTCCCACATCAAGCTCCCCTGCAGCTTGGCTTGGGGCTAGTCATTTTTTAGAAAACTAACGGATATTTTAAACCCCTTCCCACCCTGCCCACCATTATCATGGGCACCATTTCCCAGAAGAGATCTCCTCTATAACTGGCAAAAAAGCTGTTTGAGTGAGAAAGATTCTTACCTCTTTTACGTCTTCAGTTAGGTGGAGTGTCTCTGTGACTTCTCTCTCACTGGACCATTGGACTTTTATTTCCCCCCTCCAATGTCATGGGGCTTTCCAGAGATCCTTTAGATACCAAGTCATCAGAGGTAAAGCAATCTAACAGATTTCTAGTAATGTGAAACTGAAAGCACTGAGTACAAAGCAATGACTCAATAGACAAAAAAGGAATTTCTGGAAGCTGTACTAGTAGGAGGGTCCATGGGTTTGACACAATCCTAACTGGAAACCTCATGCTCTTTTTAGAAAGAGATCTTGGAAACGATGTGCTGTTTAAAAATTGTCTGTTGGATATTTAAATACAATGAAACGGATCTCAGGAGGGGGTGTCAGGTTCAGAGACCTAGAAGGAGGAAGCATTCTTGTTTAGGCGTAATTTCCTTAAGATATACACACACTCACAGTGGGCCTGGCTCCTCATTTACACACGTAGTGAGTGAGGAAAAGGACATGTCTTACATTCTCCCAAACACCCAACACCTAACCCAGCACCTGGCACAGGTGCACAGGCAGGAAGGGGCTCTGTGTAGTATAGGTGATCCCCCGAAACCTGACTAAAGTAAAGCCAGTTTCTTTTAAGTAGCCATTTTAAAGGGTAATGTGCTGGGCTGGATTCCGAGGGAAGGGGAGACGGCCTGCTTCCTGGCCTCAGCCTGCAGGCTAGAGACCCAAGCACTGCAAGGATGTTTACCTAGTCTCTTGAAACTCAAGGAGAAGCTGCAGCACTGAGCTCACATGCTCACCTGCACGTAGTTCCTTCCCTGTTCCCTGGTAAAGGCTAGGCCACCTTCGGCAGAGCAACTGCCCCAGTGTCGTCCAGTGCTCTGTAAATAACCCTTAATAAAACTCATTTGGTTACCATTGGGGAGGATTTGGGGTCTGGGGGTGAAATAGGGGAAGGGGACAAAGAGGCACAAAATCTCAATCATAAATTTGTCATTCAGGATGGTAGTACAACGTAGAGAATATAGCCATTGATTCTGTAACATCTTCCTATGTTGAGGATTTAATAATATCTATAAAAAAATAGTGAAAAAAATCTCATTTATTTGCCAAGCTGGGTCTGTCTGCATCGCCTTTTGGCCTGTGGATCCCTCAGAACTTGGGGAAGGAGCTACTTTTACTTCCTCCTGGGAAATTGACGTTAGCAGGCCCCATGTATAGCACACGTGTTCCAGGCTCAGTGCTGACTGGTTTACATGGGTTTACATAACTTACAACTCAGAGAGACAAATATTTCTCCCTGGTCTTATACAAACTGAGGCATACAAAGACGTAATGTCTTGTTCCAGATCATAGCACTATAAATAATCTGAATGGAATTATTTTTGATCCCAAACCTTCCTGTTAAGTGCTTTCACTGTATTGCCTTTCTATGTTTTCTGAGTGACCAGCAGTAGAAGTAATAAATATTTCTTGATTGTTTTCTAAGAGCTCTATCTGATACATGTCTAATTCAATCCTGATTACAATCATGCAAAACAATGCCACTGTCTCCGTCTGACAGCGAAACGGGAGGCTTGAGTGAGGGTAAGTTACATGCCCGTCCAAGTTCACCAAGTCAGTGATCATTCTCTCTCTGGCTCACTTGTACGGTGGGTTCCACACTGAGAATCTAATTTTTAAACTAATTTAAATTTAAAAAATGGACAAGTGAAGACCAGAGGCTACCACTCCCGGCCAGTAGGAGGAGCAGTGTCTCAGAGATTTTTGTCCAGGGAGAGGCAGTCCATAAGCACAGTGCGCTCTGAAGCTCTTCCCAAAGGAACTGACTTTATTCGAAAAACAGTGTAGGGGAAGTTCAAGCCTAAGAAGTTGAAGGAAATTTATTGCTAGCAGACTGATGTTACAAGGAATACTAAAGGAGATTTTCAGTTAGGAAGCAAGTCACCCCAGGTGGTAATACAAATCCACATGAAAAAACAGAGTGCCAGTAAAGGAATTATGTATTTATATAAGACAGCATAAATGCATATTTCTTCTCTTAATTTATTTAAAAAGCAATTGTGTAAAAATGATACGTATATAATTGCATTGTAAGACCTATAACATATAAATGTAGTACAATTAATAATAACAGCACAAAAGAGGGGGATGGGTGCAAAGCTTATTTAAATAAAGATATGACACCAGATGTTAATTTGAACCCATAGGAATGAAGGGAACTAGAAATTGTAAGTAAGGAAATTAATATAATAAGCTTTATAAATTTAATATTTCTCCTTCAGCTTCTTTAAAAGACAAAAAATTATATGAATTAAAATTACAGCATGTATTATTGGGATTGTAACAAATAAAATGGAGTATGTAACATATATATAAGAATAATAGCACAAAAAGGGGGAAGAACAAGTAGAGTTATAGCATTATGGCAGTAACAATTCTGTATGTCACTGGAATTAATTTAGCATAAATTTGAGGAATAGTCCGAGAAGTTACATATATACATGTATGTGTGTATGGTTAGCCCTGGAGCAACCACCAAGAAAATAATAGATCTCAAATCAACATCCTTTCACCTTAAGACACTGGTAAAAGAAGAGCAAACTAAATCCAAAGGAAGCAGAAAGAATAAAATAATAAAGATTTTTGTAAATGAATGTAGTAAAATTAATGAAAAGAGAAAATCAATGAAACCAATACTGGTCCTTTGAAGAGATCAGCAAAACTGACAAACTTTAAGCCAAATTAGTCAAGAATAAAGAAAAATGAAATTACTAAAATCAGGAATGAAATAGGGTACATAACTACTGAGTTTACAGAAATTAAAAATGACTGTAAGGCAATCTTAGGAATAATTATACACCAACAAATTAACTTAAAAAATGGACAAATTCTTAGGAAGACCCAAACTACCAAAACTGTCGCAGGAAGGAATAGCTCATCTGAACAGACTAACAATAAAAGAGTGAATTCTTTTTTTAAAAAGTTTTTTATTAAGGTATGATTGATATACACTCTTATGAAGGTTTCACATGAAAAAACAATGTGGTTACTACATTTACCCATATTGTCAAGTCCCCACCCATACCCCAATGCAGTCAGTCACTGTCTATCTGTGCAGAAAGATGCCACAGATCCAAGATGTGCTTTCTCTGTGCTACACTGTTCTCCCGGTAATCCCCCACACCATGTGTACTAAACATAATACCCCTCAATCCCCTTCTCCCTCCCTCCCCACCCACCCTCTCACACCCCTCCCCTTTGGTAATCACTAGTTCATTCTTGGAGTCTCTGAGTCTGCTGCCATTTTGTTCCTTCAGTTTTGCTTCATTGTTATACTTCACAAATGAGGAAAATCATTTGGCATTTGTCTTTCTCCACCTGGCTTATTTCACTGAGCATAATGTCCTCCAGCTCCATCCATGTTGTTGCAAATGGTAGGATTTATTTCTTTCTTATGGCTGAATAGTATTCCATTGTGTATATGTACCACATCTTATTTATCCGTTCATCTACTGATGGATAAAATATTGAATTCTTAATCAAAAACTCCCAACAAAGAAAATCCCAGACAAGGTGGTTACATTGGTGAAGTCTACTAAACATTTGAAGAATAATCAATACCAATTTCTCACAAACTTGGCAAAAAATATTAGATTTTCCCCAAACATTAGATTAACTCCCCCAAATTATTTTACCACATTTACCTTCTTTCTCTGTCTGAACTATTTGAGAGTTAGTTACAGACATAATGCTTCTTTGAGTAACTAAATAATCCAGGGTGTATTTCTTAAAAAAACTATCTTATAGAACCACAATATATTTACGTAAAGTTTTTCTTAACTCATACACCTTCTTTTGAAGTTGCTTTTGTAAAAAGCTGGAATTCTGCCCCTCCTTCTTGGGAGGGAACATCAGATGTCTGAACAGAAATTTTATATCTGTTGTAAAATGGACATGTAGCTTTAAGAAGTTGGTAGGTAGTATCTTTGATCTACAGGCCTATGTATTTTACTGTGAAATAATAGGAGTTTGAATCAGGACTGTGGCATCCTTTGGTGACATTCTTCAAGCTTTTAAGGTGAGAGATTGGAGCCATTCTGTTGGGATACTTATGCTGCATTTGTCCCTAAGCTAGTAAACAATATTCAGATTTTAAAAACTGTTCAAATTATTATGACATCCTTGCTAGTCTATTCCAGAACTAAAAATGTACATATGCTGTTCAATAAGTAAACTGATTTTACCAGGATAGCCATTACTGATGACATAGGTTTCAAACTGGGTGAATATATCAGGAACCCTCATGATATGTTGAAGACTGCACTGAGCATAAAAAGGTTTGAGTTCACTTGCTCCAAGTAAATAATAAAAGCATTTACCAATGTCTGGGAGAAAATTCAAAGAGTTGTTGCAATTATTACTTTTTAAAATAATTAAAATAAGGTTTGCTCGTATAGCATGGGGATGACAACTCTGCGGCATCTTACTGCACTGATGGACAGTGACTGCAATGGGGTGTAGGGAGGGGCTCTGTAATATGGTGCATGTTGTAACCACAATGTTGCTCATGTGAAACCCTCATAAAATTGTACATCAGTGATACCTTAATAAAAAATAAAATAAAATAAAATAAGGTTTGCTTTACTGGAGGTCATGATGAAAATTGCCATTTTTTTAAATAATGGAAATTTCTTGGGAATCATCAAGCTATTTGCTGAATTTGATCCATTTCTGCATGACTACTTGGAAAAGTCAAAATTAAAAAAAAAATCAAATGCATTTGTATCAAAAACTGATAAGGGTGACTTAGTCAAAATAAAAGGAGAACGTATAAAGTGAAGTGTTAAGTAGTGTCCAAATACTACTTCATATTGTAGAATTTTCCATGATTTTGATATATACTTATAAATTGGTGATTATTGTGTACTTAATATACTCAGAGAGCCCTGAAAAATCTGTTTTTTTTCCAACCGAAATAATTTATCTGTGACTTTACTCCACAAAGTGAAACATATTCTGGTGATGACAACTTGCCAATGAACATTTGTGAGAATCAGTATGACTATGCAGCTATTATAGGTAAAGACAAAGGGCTGCATGCACTCTTTGTAAACATGAATAAGTAGAATATGTACCTGTTCACCAGAGGATAAACTGACCTTCTAGTA